TGAGATAAATAATAAAATGAAATATTAAAATCAAGATGTATCTCGCTGCATTACGCGAGTACCCTTCTAGTCTTACAAATAAAACTACCTGTGTTTGTTGCGTACTGGTTAAGGTTAACGGAAATATGATATTTTGTAGGTTGAAATTTAGGTGTTCACCTACAAGGCTACAACGATTCCAGCTCATTCACAATCGTCCACAGAAGTAGTCGGTCCGCATAAGTCGGTTTAGATACCCATGATTAGGAAAGGGAAATCTTAAAAGGTAACATGTCAAATATAGTTTTTTTAAACAAATAAATTGTTATAATTTCATACTATTTACTCTAGAAATTGTATTTCTTATCTACAATAATACGATTTTCATTTCAATGTTTCATTTTATTTTTTTATCCATGTCGATATAATACGATTTTGAGAAATCGATAATATTTTTATTTTTGAATAAAATGTAAATTTGAAAATATCATATAAAGTTTGCAAAAAATATATCAATATTAGTATCAAATTAACTATTTAAAAATTCTTGTTTGTATATTTTTTTAATTCAAATTTTTTATTATAATTTAATTTAACGTAACGAAGTAACTTAATTTAGGTTTAATAATATGTTTTTTTATAAAGATAATAATTAATTATTCTATTATAACTCAATAATTATCCTAATTATATTTTAGATTTTTTGATATTTTAAAGTAAGATGTTTATCATCTATTTGATTGTTTATTCGTAATTAGTTACACGAATTCAAACATAGAGTTTTAATAATTTGTACTTATGCAGAATTTACTTGTAATCTTGAATTTTAAGTAATATGCATCAATAAACAGTACTTCATGCATAAAAAATGGTTTTTAAGAATTTTTATTAAATATTTTATAATATAGTATAGCTTAACAGTATATTCAACTATTTTAATCTTTCCTAAACTTTTAATACCAAAAAGTTGATTTCTACCATCTTAAAAAGTGGGGTGATACATAACTAGATCTCATCAATTCCATTTTATTAAACATGTCACCGTTACCTTCACTTACCAAACTTGTTTTTGATAAGCAAATAAATCCCCAGCTTTTTCGGGCCTCGCTGGGCCGGGCTTTGAATGCAAAAAATAGGACTGATCGGGCTTCAGGCTGGTCTTTTACCGAACCTTTAAGGCTGGGCTCGAGCATGCTACGCCTGAGATTTATCGAGCCATGATTCGGGCTTTAAGTATTTTACATCTATACTTTCACTTCAATTAATATAGATGTTCAAGCTTGGTGTAGCTGGTAGCATCTAACCTAAACTCAAAAGTGTTTTCTTGATTATCTCTTTGAGATTCATATCAACACGAATTAAATTTTGCTACACAAAAAAGATGTACATAAATCAGACAAACTTTAGATCTTTTCATCGGTAGACATGATCTCTAAGGAGATCATTAGATGCCAAATTCAAACTTAATCAATCTGTCGGGTTGGCATGCCATTCACTAACACAAATTATCAAATAAAAGTATAAAACCCAGTATCATCTTAAAACGAGCTTTCTATTCCACTTTCATACAAGAACGTTCATTATTTTGTTAACCGCCTCTTAATGGGTAAGAGGTGCTTACCCGGTAAGAGGCACAATGTCGATTGAGCTGCTGACCAAATTTTCAGTCAGCCTTACCCCAGACACCTGGTAAACCATTTTTCAGTCGGCAATTACTCAGACTGCACTCTTACTCGGTTCATGCTTACCCAACTTGTGTTGGTAAACAACCCCTAAGTTTCTATACGCAGTTTTACATTAAGTCGCCTTTGGTTCAGCTGAATCTACCCAACCACGTAGGATTACTATTTTAGTGCCTAGCTTCTCTCCTGATGATCTTTTGTAGTTTTAGCCTATCCTTCTACCAGTGAGATATACGAAGCATAATCATAAACGAGTCCTTTCTCACTACGTAATCTCTCAAAAGCCTCGGGATCTCCATACTTACAGTGACCTTCCAAGAGGATATTGTAGGTAATGTCATCCGGACACACACCCAGATCAAGCATTGACCGTAAAAGCTTATGTGCATTTTTCATTTGCCCAATCTTGCATAATCCATTCATCAACACATTATACGTTATGATTCCTGGAAAAAGTCCATCTCTACGCATCTCATTCAGCAACCGAAAACCCATCTTAACATCTCCCTTCTTGCAGAACCCATCAATGACCATCGTGTAAGTTGCATCCTCCGGTTTTAAACCCGATTTTTTCATTTCCCTCAATAGCTTTTCGGCATCAAAAACTAACCCTTCCCTACATAAACCCGATATAAGCGCTGTGAATGCCACATTATCAAGATCAATGCCTTCATTCACCATTCTCTCTCTAATTTCAAGTGCTAATCGCAAATCTCCCGCCTTGCAACATCCATCAAGAAGAGATGTGTATGTAATCTTGTCGGCCTTCAACCCTTCCCGAGTCATCTCATCGATTAGATTCCTAGCGTCACCGATTTGACCGCTCTTGCAAAGACCATTAATAAGAGTGTTAAAAGTAATCAAATCACCTTTCACACCTCTAATCACCATTTTGCAGTACATCTGCATAGCCAAACTAATCTTTGAATTTCGGCAAAAACCATTAATCAAGGTTGTAAATATAACATCATTGGGGACCAAACCCCTCTTACACATTTCATCAAACAATTGATGTGCATCACCTAATCTACTTTCTTTACATAGCCCATTAACCAGAACACTGTATGTAAATACATCAGGATCAAGGCCACTCCCTTCTATAACTTTCTTCAACCTAAACGCTTCATCCAATTTACCCGATTTACAATATCCATTCAACAAAGTATTAAAACTAACCAAACTCGGCCTTAGTCCCCATTTAGGAATTTCATCGAACACTATGTTAGCATCCCTAATCATACCTTCCTTAGAAAACTTATGCATCAAATTATTGAAAGTATACACATTTGGAGGATACCCACATCCCAAAATCTCCAAATAGAAACCCCAAGCAGTCGAAATGGAATTCGATTTCATTAAAGAGTCCAGAACTCGTCCGCAAGACTGAAAAGGAACCCGAAACTTTTGCTCTCTTGCCAACCGAAAGCATTGAATAGCATCGGAAATAAACCCATCATCTACGTAGCAGTTAACCAAAGCATCAAACACAAACTCGTTATGTTTTGTACCTTTTGTTTCGATAAATGATCGGAAGACAGAAGCAGCGGAACGTTTTCCTTTTCGTGAGACTACGAAACGGAGTAAAGATCCTGCTTGCGGGAACATTTGATTGGCGGAGAGGAATTTGATCATGGTAAAGTAAGAATGGATGGTGTGGCGAAATGGGGGTTGAGTGGATAGCCATTTGAAGAATGACAACAGGGTGTGTGGATCAAGAGAGTGTGGGTTTAGGTTGATTAGGTCGATTACGTGAGAGGGTTTGAGAGAAGGGAGGAGTTTACGGAGAGAAGTTTCGAGAGGATTAGATGTGTTGATGATGGCTTGGGAGAGAGTAGTAAGGAGTGGATCTATGTCTTGGTGGTTGTGGGGTGACGGCGGAGCAGTGTACCACGGCGTGGTGGTTGTGGTGGCGGTGGTGGCGGCGAGGAGCCGGATGAATTGGAGTTGGAAAGGACGGGCGCAGTGTAGACGGACTCTTGTGAAGTTCTGCATATTCATGAAGGCGAAAATTGCGTCTCGAAGCTCTAAGCAATTATTTATCATAATCATCGATTCAAATATCCAATTAAATTGTCATATATTTTATTACAATATCAACATAAATACAATGTTATGTATTTTAGGGGATGTTTGCGATTGTTTATAAAAGTAATTTATTGACTTACTTCAGTATGATATTGGTAATAAGCATTTTTGAGTGTTTTGATAAAAACTTATATCGGTGCCAAACCGGTAATAAAAAGTTTTTGAAAAAATTAAATCATTCTAATTTATAATAAGTTGATAAACTTTTGTAAAAAAATACAAGTTGTTTCAAATAAGCAATCTCAAATACCCTGGTAGACTATGAAAATGTACCTTTCAAAAAAAACTATGAACATGTACAATTTAAGCTTTATTTTAGATTTAATAATTTAGTTTTTGAGAAAGATTGGGTATCAAGTCAATTTTTCTTATTTCACATGTGTATTAAATCTTCGGACTGTGTAAATCGGTTGAACCAAATCAAGTAGGAGACCGTTTACTAAACGTTTTTCGGTAAGTATTTATTGAGTCATTTTACCTTATTGGATGAATATGACTGAGATTCTTACCAGATAAGAGCGATGAAAAAGACCGAGTTTCTTACCTGGTAAGTGCTTATCGGACAAAAATGTTATATAAGATATCGTTTTAATAAACTAATAAGTGAAAGTTTTGATTTTTATCGATAAATGCTTAATAGGTAAATGTTATGTAAACGGCCCCTAAGACTTTTTTTGACGGTTTGGACGGTCTGATCTTTTTGGTATAAAAAATAGTCAAATCCCTCAGTCTGATTGGGTTTGATTTTGAACCTTTTTTTTAACTGTTTGAACTGAATCGACTGCAAATATATATATATATATATATATATATATATATATAGGGGAGCGATCAAATGCAAACCACTCAATTTGTACAAACCGTGCAAACCGTATTCAACCAATCATAATTTTTCATTTTGTTCATTTTTTTGTAATTATGAGAGGTTGATTAATCATTTTTATTGTGGAGG